CATGAAAAGAAGTATGAAATCCGGTAATAGGATAAACGCATAGTATTCCTGCGGAGACGATGCTATCCATCACGAAGAAGATTGAAGGCCAGTCTTATCGCCTTGCAATACTCCTCCGCTTTCTTCGTCGAGGACTCGCTTACTAGCAGCTCTGCACCTTCGTCCCAAACTATCTCAGAGCACTTAGAACTTAGTACTCAATTGGTTAAGCAAGGGATCCTAGAATTTAACCCTAACTCTTTACCATAATATGATGTGCTGCCTCCATGTTTCCTCAAAACAGTGGCCGAGTACATCTCGGCGCCTTTTTGTCTAGTCTTTCAGCATTACCGTGATGCTGGCCGGTTACCGCTTGTTTGGCAAATGAGCATCGTCAAACCCACCTACAAAGGGGGGAAGACCCAGGACCCCGGAAACTACCGACCAATTAGTTTAAAAGCCATAGTTGGTAAAACCATGCAAATAATCCTCAAACGAGCCTTGCAGCTGCAACATGAAAAGCTGAGCGTATTTTCCTCCGCACAGCATGGCTTCCGGAAATCACATACTGTACCTCCAACCTCCTTGTAGCCAGGGAAAAATGTGCACGCTAGTTAGATGCAGGAAATCACCTAGACAATTTTCGTTGACTTCAGCAAGGCCTTCGACAACGCACTCCATGAAAGACATTTTTATAAACTCCGTTGTATTGGTGTCTACGAGGGACACTTTCTTGGATCCATCATCATCATCAACAACAGCAGTACATCAGCCATTTGAACTGATGCTTCGCTGCCATACAACCATGAGAACCTATGAAATAAAGAATAAGAAGAGGGAGAGAAGGGGGACTTACATGAAAACCTTAATGCCCCAAGCAAACATTCAGGGTCAAGGCACCTACACCATGTGTAAACAACATAACGTCACAAACAGCTGGCTATCGTGCAAAGATAAGGCGGCATTGGCGAGACAGCTACCTTGCGGCTTTCACTGCCCCGCGTCATAATCAGCCATTACCCAGCAGATAACTCAGCACCAAACACACTTTAAACAGGAAATCCGACTACGAGACGGCAGCAGAGGCGCCAATGGTGTCGGTTGCGAGCCATGTCCTGTAAAGTCTCAAGCCAAGCACAAGGCGAGTCTCGTGGACTCCAGCCCAGAAGGCGAGACGGACCAACGGCACCCAGTTTGGTCGTCAGTGACTTCCTTTCCCGTTGCCAAGTCAACTTCTGTCCACCTCGAGCCTTGCGCCACCCTCCATCTGGCAGACTAAACATGGCCCTCCTAGGTAAGCGGTGACCAGGCATACGTAGCACGTGCCCAAACCAACGCAACCTATTCAGTGCTATCTGTTGTTCTAGGGAGCTAGCATAATTATCACCACCTAGTACTCGCCTACGCACATCATCGTTGCGGACACGCTGGTGCCATCCGACTCCAGCAATGCTTCGCAGACAACGATGATCGAAGACTTGGAGGCGCCTCAGATCTTCAGACCGAAGGGGCCAAGTCTCCGTACCATAGAGCAGAACGGTCCTCACTGTGGCCATGTATACCCGGCCTTTCAGACGGAGGGGAACTACCCTCTGTCGCTAAAGATGCCGCAGGTTCAAGAAGGTAGCTCTGGCTTTTGCAATGCGTGAACTGACATCAGTTTCTATGCGCCCATCGTTGCTGATGCAGCTGCCAAGGTAAGTGAAGTGATCAACCACCTCGGGTACATCGTTAGCAAGCGTCAAGGGATCATTAAGTGGATGGTGGTCCTGCAGCAACACTTGACACTTGGAAGGTGCGAAGTGTATACCAAATAATGGGACCACTCTGGACAGCCTATTCAGGGTTGATTGTGCCGTCCCAACGTCATCGAAAAGCAAGCCGATATCGTCCGCATTATCAAGATCAAGTAACCTTTCACCAGGCAGCACTTCAACGCCTACATCTTGAGATTCCGCAAGTGAACACTCCATGATAGAATCCACGACGAAATTGAACAAAAATGGAGAAATCGGACAACCCTGACGAACGCCACTTGTGGTCGGAAACCTATCCGACAGGACACCGTAGACCCTGACGCGGGCTGTAGTGTTCGAGTATTGAGCACGAAGGATGTTCACATTTTTCGTGGGAACACCGTTCCGCGCAAGTATTTCGAACAGAATCGATCGATCGACTGAATCGAACGCACTCTTGAAATCGAGGAACACAGCTATTGTCGGTCTGCGGTATGCGTGGCGCTGATCTAACACCTGTCACAAGTGAATATATGGTCTATACAGCCACGTACTGGGCGGAAACCGGCTTGCTCTTCCCTAATCAGCGATTCCTGTTCCGCAGTGAGGCGACGAACGATAATCGAGGCCAATAATTTTGTCACAACTGGCGTTAAGCTAATACAGCTGTGGTTAGAACAGTCGGTGCGACTGCCCTTCTTGTATATTGCCACTATAATCGAGTCGCTCCAATTAGCCGGGACACGCTTCCTTCCAGATACATTCGAATAAGGAAGTCAGTGCTTTTCAGAGGACCTCACCGCCATTCTTAATTAGTACAGGCGGGAGGGAATCCGGACCAGTGCCATAAAGACGATTGAAGGCCATAATCGAATTTCGGTCCTCGATCTCCGACATAGGCTCTAAATTAACCGTCCATGACTCGTCCTGCACCATCGGAGTAAAAAGAAGTCCGGGAGCAGGGGGCCAGCTGAACTGATCTTGAAGTGTTACGCCCAACCAACCACACGGCGCTCCTTATTGTGTATCAGTGCACCCGCGCTGTCTCTGCCTGTCTCACTGACTCCTGGTTTCCTGGGACCAGTGATACGGATCAGCTGGAAGAGCTTGCGATATTTGCCTACTGCTCCTGCCTCCTCCATTTCTTGGGCTTTACTGGTCCACCAAGCTTTCTTGTCAGCACGTAAGTTCCGCTTTAGTTCGCGCCTAATAGCCCTTCTGGTCATATTGTGCTCAAAGCCAGCCAGGAAGTGTCGTCTAGATTCCAACAGGTTCACCGACCTCGCGGATATCCAGTGACTGGTGCAATGTCTACTGATATTGTCACAAGCAGATGTTCTTGCGTCGTGCATGGCGGCCGAGATCCTATTCCACTGAAGCTCAGTCTCAATAGGACAATGGAGCGAAATTTCGGTACGGAGTGCGTCCTGATAGGCTTGTCTGACGGAGGGTTGAGACAATTTCTCAGTTGCAAATTGCAGGGGACGATTGGCGCGTCTCCCGGTAAAGTTCACGGAGAAACGACAGCGCATTAAGGCATGATCAGAGTCAATGCAGATATTTCAGTACGAGTGGTAATCCAGGATAAAACCATGTCACCTGTAACTTATGTGGTCGAGTTGTGTCCACTACTGGCCAGCTACAGGAGGAAGCCAAGTGGCACTTCGGCGCCCACTGTGTCTAAAAGCAGTGATACTAAGAAACAACTGGTGCACTGCACACAGTTGCAGCAGACGTTCGCCGTTTTCAGTCTGTTCGGAGTTAAGCCCATAATTACCACCCAGCTGAGCCTCTGTAGAGCTCGTACACCACCATACTTGTGCGTTCATATCCCCCGCAATTACTACAATATCTGAACTAGCAGCACTGCGTAGTAGCGCCTTCAGTTCGTAATAGAATGTGTCCTTGAGAGCATTTGAAATGCGGTTGGTGGGAGCATAAGCGGAAAGCACAAACAGCACACTGTAGTACTTCTTAACTCGACCTTAGCTGATGTCGTCAAACGGGCTGCACATAAACGGCCGTTCACCGGAATCCAACCAATCAAGGATGGCTCATCCTTGGAGCTTACAATGATCCATACACCAACTTGACCCGTAAGTGCTACATCGGCATCTCCGGGTGTGCTACCAATAAAGAGTGGATAAACTGGGTGCAGTTAATTCAACAACCCCATTAGGTCGTTGATCCTAGTTTCGGACACACAACACACATCAATACCCAGAGTATACAAGGTGCGTGCCAGTGCAGCCTGTTGACCAGTTTGTCTTAGAGTGCTAACGCTGAACGCCGCCATTGGAACGGGACAGTGTGGCCTTATAAGGGACTGTTGCTGATAGGCGTCCGTTGGGCGTTGTGGGAAGGTGGCTGCAGATGGTCCTACTCCAGTGACACTTCGGTTGCTGTCAAGTAAGCTGAGACTTATAGAAGGAAGGTTAGTAATGGGGTCGGGATGGGAGTAAAAGAAACAGGTGGAAAAGACAGAAAGGAGGTGCCAGCAGTAGCATGTTTCCGTTCATCTGCTCTGCTGTACGCAGCAGATAAGACGACTCTTGCTAATCTGCGCAACGGCCGACGCAGGATGAAGTTAATGTTTGAAGAAAAGTCATGGTTGTATTTGGGCTCAGTTACTGCCACGGCGCCAAGACCTAGACAGGAGGACGAAAAGGGTCATCAACCAAAGTCCTTGGCTCAAAAGCTAGTCCGCCAAGCAACGGGCAGTTGGCAATGATTTAGCTTTACAGAAATGAACGCCATCCCATTTCAAACTCCCCAACCTGGAGAACAAAGAGTGACTTCGTCTGACATCTTATCATTGAACAAGCTGGTAGGAGTAGCTCACAAGGGGCCAGGAGGCACCACCCATTACAGCTCAATGGGTCAAGAAGGTACGCAAACCGTCGCATGACTTTAAGGTCCAGTCTCGTTGCGACGGGCGGATCTTCATACTCTTCATTACTATGATTCTCATGCAAAGCCGGGTTTAATAATAATTTGTAATGTGCCAGCTGTACGCCGTAACGGCGCTTCGCTGCCGTGCGACTACCACCAGCCGCACGCGGGTTAAGTATAGCGCGAAGACGCCTAGCGATGCGCGGATTCGAACCCCCACCGTAAGGTAACGAGACAAGCTCGGTACCTCCAGGTTACGGCCAAGATTAGTGTTGAGTAGCATACGCTACTTGTGAATTTTACGTCAAATACACCCGATAAGCATAGGCCAATATTTTTATAGTACTAGGTAGTGTTAAGATATGGAAGTTAAGTAGCTAGAACAAGACTTACTTTATTGAGTTTCAAAATAACACAAGGGGTTCCAGCAGGGTAACCATATCCGTTTTCCTTGTTACAAACACCAAGTTTTTCAAGTGGAAACTTGCAGACCTTTTCTGGATTATCAGGAGCTTTGTTCACGCCATTACAATTTGCAAATTGGTCCTCAGGCTTTGAATTAATAGCGCGATACTTCTCAAGAAATGCCTCAATATTTTCAGTATACAAATAATAATCCTGAGGATCCGTTACTGCAAATTTAATTAGCGACTTTTGGACATCGACCATTGGCCTGAATCCGATCCCTTGAACAAAAGTAAAGCAGCGACAAATTGTTAACCTGGCCTTAGTCCAAGAATATTTTGCATGCCGGTCCTTGCCGGTACATCCTCCGGAATTTGCGTACGCAAAAACACAAAAAGCATACTCATAAAGAAACCAGCCAAAAAGGTGTAGTAGGTCAGGTAAAATAGCAAACATAGAGCTATAGAACAATGGTGACATGTTGTTAAAATTCGTACTCCAACTGATAGCAGTGCGACCCATGAATGTCTTTTTCTTTGAGTCATATAACCAAGCAGGCACGCGCCGTCGTGAAATGTAAGACAAAGTGGACAAGTTATCCGAAAACTCCTGCAGCGACATGATTTTCGGTGGCTTAAAATGGTGGGTTACACACAGCCTTGGAATGGCGTGCATGAACTGCAACGTTAACATATTAAAAAAGCAAACGGTTTAATTAAAAGCATGTTGGGAAACAGAATGCTTTTTCTAACTTTATCAACAAGAAACCTGCTTTTCATATGTGGAACATCTCAGTGACTTTATTGTGGACAACCTCCGGTCGATAATCCATGTAAAACGTCCGCTCAGTTCAAGTTCCCAAAACGGTGTAAGCTTCCGCTTAACTAGCGTTCTGCTTCTCGCATCGACAAGCAACCAAGAGTTCTCGGTGCTTCGACTCCCATTTGCACTGCTTGCTTCTGCAAATGACAGGACATGACATACAGGATCCAGGGACGAAACAAGTTTCCGCTTAACGAGCCTCCTATTTCGTGCCAGTAAGCATTGCGACTTGATAAAATATGCTTGATTATAGAATGGTGAAAAATGAAGTAACTTCAAGAAGAAAAACCCATCATCATGTAATAATGAGATTAGCGGCAGTCACTGAGGCTCAAGGATATTCAGGCAACAGGGCCAGCCAGAGTTTGTCTAGGCTACGTTTAAATTCCTCCACAGTTTCGCATGCTATTAGAGCGAAAGGAAGTTTATTCCAAACAGGCACAACCCGGTTTGCAATAATCTAGCTCTTAACTCCAGCCTAGATCTATGATTTTCAAGTTCCTGCAAGCTGTTTGACATATTTAAGAAAAGAACCTATAGAAACACTAGAAACAAACTTTACGTTCATCCTTATTGAGTTCTCTTCAACGCCCATCTATAAGTTTACAATATTCCCGGAAAGGTTCTAACCAACATCTGTCTAGATCTCTCTCGAAGGCTTCAACCGTTGTACAGTTCATCAACAAAGGGAGAAGCTTTTTCCAACGGCCGACATCATCGTGTACACTGTATTTTCCTCTGTTACCTGGTCGAGACCTCCGACGCTTAAGGTGAAACTGATGACCGCTCAGGTGGTCTGGTGTCGCTGGCTCAAAGGCTTGATGCCACTGAGACTCTTCAAGATCCGAAACATATCCATTAGACTTTCTCTCAAGCTACGACTTTCCATGGAAACAATCCCGAGCTCTTCAGACGTACAATATACGGCTTTTCACGTTTGCCCTCAAGCCTTCTAGTCGCCAGTCGCTGTACTTTCTTTATACGAAGGACGTCCTTCCGGAGCTACGGCGTCCACGCTTGTACGCAGTATGCTCTAAAGAATAGAAAGACTACCTCCGATCTAGTAAAACATAAAGTCCTCCTGAGGCAAAAGATTTCCTGCAGCGTCTTGTTGCCTGCATACTGACACAGTGCTGAGGTTTTGTATTTATTCGTCCCTTGCTTTTGCAACAGGCTGCAAGGTCAGGGCTCCAGTAGATGTCTGCACTGTAATACCATCACTGTTGGAAGTCAGCAGCTGGCATTTACTAGCCTTAAGGAGCAAATCCCTTACGACCTACCACACTGCAACTGTGCAGAGGTCCTTGGACAACGCCCTCTCATTACCCTTACTACCCAGCTTCAGGTCATCATCAGTGATGTATCAGGGGTCCTCGAGTAGAACTGTCGTCATTATAAATATGAGGAAAAACAGGGGACCTAAAACAGAGTCTTGCGGAACGCCACTGTGAGCGGTGCCTATACTTGAGTTGGCATCATCGACCCTAACGTGAAGGTTCTTTCTAAAAGTATTGGGGATGAATCCCAATCTAGGCCAGCAGCGTTAGTACGAAACGGTGGTTTGCTTAAGCAAAGGCCATGCTCAAGTCAAGGTAGCAAACCGTTGGTGCAATCCGATTATCAAAACAAGGTGTTACTTCAAAGAAGAAGCGCAACAAATTGGTAAGACATGAATTCATGACAAAGCCACCTTTATCCACTCCTAGCAACTTAAGAGCAATTAAGAACACAGATTCGGTTTCTGATAGGCTGCTCCAAACCTTTTGGTAACACGGTTGTTATGCTGACAAACCCATAGTCGACGGATACAGATTTGGAAACGCTTATGTATCGCCACCACAGATGTGGCTTTCCAGTCTTGTGATAACCTACCTTCACGAAGTGACATGTTGAAGAGCTCAAAGCCCGGGCCCTGGAGTGTGTCAGCGAGCAATTTGACGGTCGCAAGCTACCATTGTCTGATCCAGCCGATTAGGTGGGTCTAAGCTAGCGACCACATTAAAAGACCTCTGATAGTGTTAGCGGAGTGGCTAGCCTTGCACTCCCGGTTTGACGGTGTGGCTGCCGTTCATCCCCATGATGAACATGCTGAAAGACACGCAGCAGCACTTATGCCTTATCAGTGCCTTCTGTAACATGCATTCCCCTCTCTATGGTAGGTTAACAACACCACCCCTCAAAGAATCCGTTGACTGAACGTAAGTGTAATACAACTTGGGCATCGTTTCCAAAGGCAGAACTACTCGAAGCCCAAAGCAGCACTTCACTTTTCTTTGTAAGTTGCCTGCTAAATTGCTGCTTCTTTGTTACTGCACCCGGTGTCTAAACCCTCCAGAAGCCTGAAGTAATAGCTAAGAATCGTTCTGCCGTTTACTCGCTCGACCTATTCCATGGCGTCACCAATGCGGCTTGGCAACATGGTTTTTCTGCCTTAACAAAGCAAACTCAACTTATAACAGGACAACCCCTTTTTACTCAATCCCCATTGGTGTTATATGGTGGACTGTTCTTGTTCAGGAAAGCAGTCCATCGGCTGGGCTCAATATCCTAAGTGAGTGAAGTCAATGCAGTCTTGGTTCCTCACAAGTCGGGGTAATTCGAAGTCTTGTATGAATTTAACGAGGTTCTGGCAAGGTGGGCACTCTTACCAATGAGTGCTTCATTGTTTACCTCTGAGAAATGACCACGTCTGACTATCACAACGACCAGTGTTAAAGGAGTACAACCAACCCGCTTCTTATGCTGGTACCTAACATTCACCCATTCTACCAGGTCTTGCTCTAGGGTATACATCGGCTTGTATGGATCCAACCTACCTATGGAAGATTTAGGTCACCGATGTCCATAAAGTTTTGTGCAGTTTCCACTGCTTGCTTGAGCAGCCTATTAAGCTCCGCATCTTTCTCTGGCTAGTGGACGGGCTACGATACCCGCAAATAATTATTTCCAACCGTCCCTTCAAGCTCAAAAAGCATGCAACGACTTGGATACTAGTCCGTGACATGGAGCAGGGGCTCCTACTTCGAGTAGTGGCTCTAGCTAAACAAAAGCACACACCCTGCCTAGTGCATAGGCCAATCCTCTCTATATTCGGGGAAGCCATATGGTAAGTTTCTGATTGGAGCACTTGGAAGTCAAAGTTTTATTAACTGCAATTACCTTGGCACTTTTACAACTAACCGTCAGTCCTTTCCACTTATTCCTTAGACAGCAGCAGTTTGTGTACTGCTTTCTCAGCTGCCGTCACTGATGCTTCCTCAACATCAAACATTTAAGCTTCGCCTTAGGCCTAAGACCGGAGGGGATAGCAAGTTTTTCCAGACGATTGTTCACCTCAGTTGCCAGACTTTGAATCAGTAATTGTGTCCCAGCAGCACGCCACGGGTTGATTCCTGCTTTTCCAGCTGCAACGGAGCTACTTTTTGTTTCATTCGCCAAGTGTCCTCATTGATGCCTTTTGAATAGGCCGCATAACGCTACTCACCGTTATAAAAACATGAGCTCATTTGCCTACATTTAAGTGACCGCTTCTTGTACCCACCACTGAAGAGTTATCCGCAGTCGAAGATGTCATTTCTATTGCGTCAGGAGCTGCAGCATCAGCTGATTTCAATCGCTCACATCCAGCCACAACGTTCAGGTCCAATTTACAAGGGTATATTTTGACGTGGATAATAAACTTACATCGGCTGCTTCCTCCATCCGATCAGCATTTACATAAGGAGTACCAGCTCCAATTCCTTCAAGAAGTAAAGGGTGTCGATCCCAGTTGCAGACGGGGGTTGCTATATGCGGGTGAGCAGCAGCTTGTCTGTTGGTTGTTCGTACCCGCGCTCCCAATTTAACCTACGTGGTGCTCTAGAAAAAAAGGACATTCAACTGGCTTGCTATCACGATGCTCTTGAGCAGGAGCCGCCCTAGCTATTGGGCCTTATTCCTCGGCGTTGTTTGAGAAACTTTTTCCTTTGAAACCGCTGTGTCCAATGCTACGTGTTATCCACCTTTAGTATGATTTGTTATTCTACCACATCGGCTAAGCAGCAAATCCCGGTAAAGCGGATTCTTGAATTCCACCAACATCGGACTTGCACGCCCCTTATGACTCAGCTCTTCTGACTTCCTTCAACGACCGACCCTGTGAATTCTCTTTATACCAAAATGTAATGGTAGGCCGGCAATTCGTAGAATGTCTTGCGTCCGCCTTTTATCCTAACCACCCCTAGCTCAAGCCCCACTTATTACCGGCTCTTCATGATTGTGCATAAACACGTACGTTCGGCGGCCCACCGCAATTTCAGCTCCCCGCACAAAGTCTTCCTGAGGTGCTTGCAGTTCCTCATTTCGCACCCTCAACAAGTTGTTAAGGGATGGCTGCTCTTGGATTAACTGTTCTGCTGCACTGAGCTTTTGCAGATACTCCTCATTCTAACCAGCGTGTTAGTCAACCTGTTGATCACGTACGGGATGTGTGGTGTGCACATGATTCTAAACGAAGTTAACGAAGTGTTGGCACCGTTTCTGTAGTATTTGGGTGCACGTCTTCTAGCTGCTAGCGAAGAAGTTGTTGCCATCACTTCAGATAGTGTCAAGAATTCCGCCCTTAGCGAGCACGTGTTGCAATCCCACCTGCCTGCAGAACATGTAAGATAGTAGAACAAAACGCAGTGCTTACAGCATAGGAAAACAACGTAGGGCGCAGTAAGTCCTCTGACTACTTGGCGTGCAGCGTCTCCAGCCATGGGTGCTACAGTCTTCCCGTCTCCGGTACCATTCAATGCGAATATTGCAACAGTACCACCACCCACCCAGTCATACGTACCTGCTTTTGTAGAGCACAGCCTTGGCACCCTAAGTAGCCATGACTCGA